AATAGTGATAATCTGTCATCTTGCCTTTCCTAAGCCTCGGTTTGTCTTTCAGAAGTGGCCTGGAAAATGAAATACATAAAAAAGGAAAATAAGTCCTCTCATAAAATGCAAGATGGACGACTTCGAGTCATAGCTTAACAGCTGGTGGAGTGGATCTGAGTGTGAGCTCAAGAAAAACATCAAGCGTTCTAGCGTGGTGCCAAGCATGACATAAAGGCCATTTGTTTTTCACATGCAAACCTTTCATCTTGCGTGGAAGACTCATGACACTTCTCATAACTGACAAAATAAACCTTCTCCTCTCCATCATCACAAACGATTTCACTTTTAAAAACAAACAACAATGTAAATATAAACCTCTTTTCATCACCAGGATGGAAACAAAACACGAAAGGCCCTCTGGGCCTTGAATTTGGGGCTGTATTTCCTCTAATTCTACATCTCAGGTTTCACTTGGTTCCAGTCATCCTGCATAGACACCACAGCGAGACATAGACACCAGTGAAAGCCCCAGAAATCTTAATGAACAATGTCTCCACTGCTGCTCCACCCACCAGCCCAAACGCCACCCACCAACCACCAACATAAGCAACTTCAGGAAAGACCCTCACCACAGTACAAGTAGTCTGTGGTCGCTCCATCAAGCTGCTGCTGACTCCACCTCCTGTTCCAGCCCCAAACCCCTCGACCTCTGCTTTTTATGATTGGTTATTTGAACCAGAGCCCAATGAAACTGTGCATGTTCCACAGCCAGAGCAGAGCGAGCGACCCGAGCTGGAGGGCTGCAGTCCAATCTGCTCCAAATTATTTGCACGGCTGCAGAGCACATGGGGTTGAAAGGCTTATATAAGCCCGTGGTAGGAATATTCAACCCATGTCACCTTCTTTTGAATTCCCTGTGCTCTTTGTCTTTTTCATCAGGACTGTTTTTAAATCAAATTAGAGGTTGGGGAGAAGACATCTACTTAACTTTCAAAACAAAAACTTTGTTGATGATGTGTAAGAAAGGGAGTGTGGGATGAATAAACTGAATTTCCAGTGACATTATGCAACATTTTACACAAAGTAAACGTCAAAGTAAATTATCCTGTTTTATATTTGTCATTGACATTAGAGTTTATAAATTGTGTTCTGTGATTTTGATGTATTTTAGAGGCCCATCTAGGGCCATGCATTGCAAAATAGCTTAGGCTATGAATGCTATGAGGCACTGGTTCATGCTATCTTATCACTATGTAAATAAAATGAATAAGTCTGAAAACCTCATTCATTAGACAACCTAAGAAAAAAAGAGAGCCAAGTGCCGGAAACAGAGCAACAATGAATATTTGAGGCCGAGAGTCAAGATAACTAAAAGAAAATGAAACAAACAAATATGGCAGTGTCCGTGTGAGGCTGTGATAAAGCAGTGCTTTGAGATAAACGCCAACAACACCATGCCATGACAATGCTAACCTGCTGATGCTGCTAACCTGACCTGAAATGGGTATAATGTATACCATGGTCGCCATCTTAACATAGCTTGTTAGCATGCTAACATTTACTAAGAAGCGCTAGACACAAAGTGCAACTGAATGTCATTAGCTTTGCAGATATTTGGTAAATATAAACCAAAGTATTGGACACATTAAAACTATGAACTGATGACGGTGCGAGATGAAAAGTGAACCACACTCGGTTCATCCTGAGGAGAGCATGAATGTCTGTACCAAAGTTCACAGCAACCCATCCAGTAGTTGTTGAGACATTTCACCCAAAAGCTCAAATGTGAACCTCATGGCGGTGCTGGAGGAGAAGTCAGGGAACCATCAAAGTCATTAGGATTCATCCTCTGTCTGTACAACATTTCTAGGAAATTCATTAATAGGTGTACTGACATTTCAGTCTGGACAGAGGTGGAGGATGGAAAGACCAATCCATACAGCCACACTGCCAGTCTGGCTACCATTTTAAACCACACAGGTAATTCTATAGCACAAAGTCAGTGCTTATACAGATGATACAGAGACGTCAGGCTGTGACCTCACTTCAACAACACACAAGTGGTTTGTGGCCATTGGGTATAAACATGTCAAGAATCGCTGTGGCTTTCAAAAGACAATGTGCAGACACCCTCGGTGCCCTGTGTGGTATAACTATAAATTTTACACAACTCCAGGCACTGGGGGATCAAATTAACACTAATGAATCTTACCCAAGTTTCCTTTTTTTTTCTATTTCTACCTCATCTCTTTGTGTCTCTGGCCAGTTTCATCTCCAACCAAAACATATCCAATTGCTCGCCTGAGCCTGAATCCTCTCCTGGACAAACAGATGGTAAGTCAGCCAGATCTCCAGCTGTCAGACAAGAGACGATCTTGTTGCTTGACCAGACAAAAAAAAAATAAAAAATGGGTCACCATTATACCAGTGATAGCTGAAACAGTCTGGAGGAGGGCAGGCGCATTTTCAAGGAGGAGATGATATTTTTCCACTAATGAGGATCTCATATGAGGAAAACTAAGATGGTGTTCTTTGTGGAGGCACAGTTGTGTTACTTTTCACATACAGAATTCAGCTCATTAAAACAATATTATGTAAATAATGGCACATATAAAAATGGCACGGTGCTTTAGGAATACTTGGAAAAGGACAAAGGAAAGTTCAGTCTGCAGTCAGAGAGACTTCCTGGGGATTTTTTTTGGTTGCCAGAGCAGATGTGATGTCCTGAGTCCAGACCAGGTGGCTGAGATTTACCCGGACAGTTAATCATATGTTGTCTTCCACACAGATGTTTTTATGTGTTTATGTGTTTCATTCATAAGTCACGGTCACAACAAATACATACGTGTAAAATGCTCCATTTAAAGGGTGATTTTACAGCTGCACCGAGGAAAAGAAATGAGGAGTTTGTTTTTTCCAAAACAGTGTAATTCCATGTACAGCAGTTTATCATTATCATTTCATAGCTGTGTCAAAAAGGGGCATGAACAACCTAGTTAAGTAAAGTAGTTTGTCTTTAATTTGGTGCTGCTGGTTGGTTTCTAAAATCTCAGTGTAGAAACACTCCGCAGATCTTTTCTGCTTCCTAACATCTGGAGCATCACGGCCTGCACCGTCTCAAGAAAACAATCCATCACAGTCAAAATGAGGGTTAGTTAGTCAAAACGAGCGCACAAAAGCACCTTTATCGCATCCCCTTTAATCACTGGATGAATCAGAGACACTCTACTCCTGCATATGTAAACAAAACCAGCCCAAAGGCATTAACAACCCACAGCGGCCTCGCACATCTGCAGAGGAAAAAACACTCCACCTCCATCTGCTTCTTTTGATAAACTTCATTGACAATTGACATGAAAATTGAGTCACAGCATCGCACTCAGGATGTCACTCAGTTGTATGAGGTATAGCAACATCGCCGCCACGTTTCACTGGCTTGACTCACAGCTCATCTGTGACCCAAAACACAGACCAAGAGCTGGATCCAGTGCTTGGATTAAGACCGAAACGACTTAATGAAAATCAAACACATGAGAGGCAGAAGACGAGGAGAAGGAGGAGGCAGAGTACTGAGGAAACATTAGCAGACCTACTCCCAGCAACTTCCTCTGAAATGAATCAGCGTGCCAGAGGAGCACAGCTTGTCTTGATAGTGGCTGGAGAAGTTTTCAAAGCAAGAGCCACAGATGCCAAAAAAACAGGCAGGAAAAATACAGCAAGTGCATAAAGTGGCAACACAATGCCAGGTCATCACTTCAACATGTGGTTTAATTCACTCACTGATAAGAGCTAGATGTTGTGTTTTTTTTATGCCGCCTAATAATAGTCTGTTCACTTGTTGATATGGTTTTATTCACTACCACTGGTTTAATGTCACTTAGCACATTTAAGCAAGTGCTGAACTTCATTTTGAAGTTCTTGTACTTCACTTGATTATTTCTATTTTATCCTCTTCAATATTTCCACCCCTCTCTATTTATTTGACAGCTAAAGTTGCTGTTAACATTGCAAATGAAGATTTTAAATACAAAACGTAATTTTGTCAACTAAAATATGCTATAATGTCATGGACCAGACATCCCATGAACTTACATTTCACTTAAATAAAAGTAGAAATACTGAAATATAAACACACTATCACAAGTAAATGTGCCTCAAGTAAAAGTTTATAAACATTGTTAGTAAATGAAAAATGGCCCCGTGAATGTTATATTAAAATAGATTAAATTATTGGATTACTCTTACAGATGCATTAATATGACAGTAGCATTTTATTGTTGTAGCTGGTCAATTTAATGTATAACATTTCACTTATTTCCTATATTCTGAATTGCAGGGTAAAGTCGCATAAAAATAGAAATAGTCAAGTAAAGTGCAAGTACCTCAGGTTGTACATAAGCACAGTTGCTTTCCACCCCTGTGTTTAAATAAAGTTTTGAATATGGGACTTTACTTGTGATGGAATATATTTTACTTTACTATAGCCTACTTTTACTTCAGTATAGGATCTGAACTCATATACTGTAAGTAATAGTACACAACCACTGCTCACAACTACATGTGCAAGTTACCATCTTTAAAAAATGACTTGTGTGAAAGAACTGATGTCTTCTTTTCGAGCCTTTACCTTTTTTGGGGATGTTTAGAGATTGCGCAATAGTTTGCATATTTCGCAAATGAAGTCCTTAGCAAATGAAAACAAATGTGATAAAAGTAGATGACAAGAAGACTACAGTTGCACTTTAAGACCCTATATAGTCAATAGGCAATTGGTCCTCATCGTTCACCATTTTAGGGACCGTGGTACATGCTGCACTACTGTTATTTTCCATAACAGCACATTCCCATACAGTACGTGAAAGCTTAGGGTACACATCAAAATGTATCTGTCGATCTGGTCACTGATCACGTGTCCTCATAATTGTAATAAAAAAATAAATAAAAATCTTCAGCTTTCAGAAAAAACATAAAACCTATTGTTCTGTTTTTAAAAAATTCACTGACAACATTTTACTAACCTTGCCGGCCAAGAACTCCCGGGTGAACTGTCGCGCTGATAACGTTGTTACACACCAACTTCCATGGACGAAATTGAGAAGAAAAAGGCTTTTTGTTTTAAGGGCTCGCACACTTAGAAAAACCTTGAATCGGTGTAAACATTTAGAAGAGTGTAAAGAGGCAGAGAGAGACCAGTCGCATCCAACGGGGGAGGGTCCTGAAGTGGATCCAAAGAAACTGGAAAAACTGTGACAGCACGGGGACTGGTGGAGGGAGGGAGGAGAGAGAGAGAGAGAAAAAAAGGAGGGATGGAGCAGAGAGGAGGTTTTGGGAAGTCTGGGGGGAAATTGGGAGTATTGTTTTTGTCTTCAGCAGACCTTGATGTCAAAGTGCGTGTGCATGTGTGTGTTTGTGTGTTGAGGATTGTTAAGGGGATAAAAGGTCCAGTGGGATAATACCTGATGGAAAACAGAAGAACATTTGTCTGACTATTGCAGGTGGAAAAATAAGGTTCCTTTCATCTCTATATAGATAGATAGATAGATAGATAGATAGATAGATAGATAGATAGATAGATAGATAGATAGATAGATTTATGTACCTATCCTTATCAGGAGTGTCCACATACTTTTGGGCCATACAGTTCTTTTTCTCCCTCTGTCTGGGATAATTGTCAGTCAGCCTTTGCAGCCAGCAGTATGGGCTTCTGCTCAAACAGTAGGTCAGCCATGATAACCAGCCTGTCCAGGACGGGTGTCCTCCTCCCCCTGCTGAGTGTTGACACAGATAAACAACTCATGGATGGAGGCCTGATGGAGCAAACATCCTCACTGAACGGAAACCGAGAGCAGAGGGAAAGGGAAATAAAATAGTTTCCTGTGGGCGACATATAGGGAGCTGAAGAGCCGTCCCATGGTGAGCGCACACAGAGAGAGGGTGCCATCACGTTAGTGTCATTTTAACTTTTATAGAAATGCCATAAAAGATACTGAAAGAGCACAAGCCTAGGTTTAACTATCAGAAATATCACTCCTAACATTTCAAAACCTTTCTTGCTGTTAGCATTTGCAACAAGAGTCTGGCTCTACTGGTTTCAGACTTATGGAAAAAATATGACAAAAACTGAAATGTTTGGTTAATAAATAAAATGAAATGATGTTGAAAACAATAATCTACTTTAAGTCTTTATTCTATGAGATGTTTAAAGGGAAGATGTGATATTAAATGAATAATGATGTAATGTATAATGCCTGTTTTTGTTTGGGAAGAAGAGAGCTTGAAATTGATTTCAGCCAAGTATGAGAATAACTGAGGTAGTGACTTGGCTTCTGACCAGGAATCTCATAAAGGGAGCTCCTAAATCCTGCAAGCCATTAGCTGAATAATGCATCTATCAGATACAGTATGTTGTGATCAGAGTGGAGTGCAGCTATTAGATGAGTTTAGCTTCTGCATGCAGATCTTACCCAGCAAAACTCCCACTAATAATTGTTATTGCATGGAGTATATTCAATATGTTTTAGGGAACACATATATTTGATATAAAGAACATGACATGTTTGCACCTGCGGTGTTTCTTAGAAAATAACATGTATAGATTATGATGCTTTTTAGACTTTGTGTGAAATACTGCCATCTACTGGCATGCTTGTGTATTACGGATACTCTGATTCACCTCTGGGACAGTCGTTAACAACTTGAAGCAAAAACGTTGTTCAAACTTGCTGAACTTTATTTTAATTTCTAGCCGAGATCCAAGCATTTTCAAAGACATCAGGCATGTCAGGGTGAAATATATATTTAACATGGCTGGAGTATTTCCATGTGATGGAATGGTAATGACATAAAAACATGAAGTCATGAGTCTTGATTACTGTGAACATCATTCAGCTTCAATGAAGAGCTGAAACAAGCTGATAAAGAATATATAGTCTATGTGATACTGAGAGATCGGTTGGAATAAGATAAGGTTTGTTTTTCCAACCTCAAAGCTACTTAAAAGAAAACAAAATGGAGAAATGATGTTACAGAGTTGAAAGAAAGTTGAAAGAGTTGAAAGAAAGTGGATATTTGTGAACATAGCAGCAGTTTTCATTTCAAACAGAAGAAGACATTTTGTCAGGCATAACTGAGAGCCTTTAATAAATCAGTGCAGCAAATGTGAACTGATCCTTTTCTCTTCCTCTTCTTCTGAGGTTGTTTTCTCGTTTTATGTCGTAGCCCAGGGGCTCCAAAGTCCCCATGTTTATGCAGTATCATTTGGGTCTACATAATTTGATTAATCGCAAATTTTTTTGAACCATTTGAAGTAGAATATCAACTGTGATCCTCTGCCTTGTGACCCTGATCTTGTAGAGAGACCCTGTGTCAAAATCTTTAGCGTTGATTGTTTTAGTTTAAATTGAGCTCATTTGTTGTAAAATGGTCTTTTATCAAATTGCTTTAATTTTTTTCCAACACACAGAAAACCTGGAGCAAGGTCGCACTGCATTACAGAAGAACTATAACCAACCAGCAATTATTTTCATAATCAATATGTTGGTTTTGTATTTTCTTTAATAATCAGTTGATTGTTCAGTGTATAAAACGTTGTGTGTCTAGTGGTCAGTTTAGTCAGGAGAATTTTTATAACAAAAAAAGTAAATGTTTACGTCTGTGTACAAAAGCGTCTAAGGCGATGTTAATATGATTTACTATCATCTTCTAAGAGGAGAAACAGTCCTCTGCTCTATATGTCTATGCCCCTGTTCTACTGCAGAAATATATACAGAGAAGAAGAAAGCATCTGCAGTGACGTCTTTCCGGTGTCATGTCTACCCTGTGTTGAAACCACATGGCTAGCGACTGTCGCTGCGTTTAAATTTGTATTTTCCCAGTCTCACGTTTTTAGTAAAGACGTTTTAATGCAAGAAGACATCAAGAGGTATGTGTCGTTATGTTTCTATTGTGTGAGCATGGTGTTATAAAACCTTAGCTGACGAAAGGCAATATAAAAATAATGCAGGCGAGTTGTGTGAGTGGTTCCAGTTTTGGCTTTTAATGGTAAGCAGCTAAATGCTACCTGTCAACATCAAAGATTAATAATGACGTGTGTTATTTACATCTTATGATAAGTTTGCGCTTAAGTGCTTTACTGTCATAAGAAAAGATCAAATATGGCGCAGAGATAGGATAGACATAAAATAGAGACTAAGTACAGCGCAGAAATTATAAAAGCAAAATATGGTTTATGCACGACAAGTAAAAATTTGCCTGACGCATTTAACTTTACAGTTTTAATGGAAATAAAGGCTGTTAATAAATCTTTGACCTGACTGTACATCAGAGATTAAACAGAGCAGGGGCTTTATTTTTAATGTTCTGATTGTTCAGATCATTATAAAATGACATCTTCAGTTTTATTAAACACTGAGCAGCAGGATAAATATAAGTTATCACTTCCCACGTGCAGTTGTAAGCAAAAAAAATTTGGCAAATTTTTTTTGTTGTTGTTTTGTTTGTTTTTTTTAAGTGAAAAGAAGTAAACACAACCTCTGCTTCTTCAAATATCAATCAATGTCAATAAATCAATTGATCAATGTGCGTTGATCAGCTGGGAGATTAATCGTCTAATTGTTTCATGTGTATTTTTTTTTTCTACACCAAATCTGATAACAGTTTGTGAAGATACAAGATCTATCATGTAACGTTCGCTTGACCTGGAACAATTTTCAATATCAGAGGTTTCATGGTGAAAATGTGAAACAGCTTGTTTACCAGACAGTGAGAGGTTCAGCTAGTTTCTAACAGATACAGGGAAGCTACAGCCCTGTGCAATGGTTTTAGACCAATCAAAGGCTGAAACTTAATTATATTAAAACAATATGCAGAAGTTCTCAGTTAGAGGATTTACAGCATCTGACTTAAAGACATCTTATTTGCTCAGAGGATTTTTTTAAGTCCCACTTTGACTTTGCTGCTTTTGTGTTTTTCTCTCTCAATTTTATGAAGTTGTCTAAAATGTTTGTACGGTAAATCAATCTGTATGTTCATGTTATAAAAAGTCATTTCTCCATCTCACACTGATGTCTTTTGAAAAATGTTCAAAGGCCTGAAGTGGTAAAATGATTAAGCAATTAACACGGAAAAAGATACAATAATGTGCGAGGACTCAAAAACAAACATAATTTTGTGCTGCAGACATTTGTTTATTCTGTTTTCCTCTCCGTTTATCATCTTGGGATCCCTGGGGTTTAGCTTCAACCTCTCGTAGGAAATAGTGTTCAAGCACATAGTGAGATGTTAATGTGTATCATACTTCACCAGCTGCTGTTTTTACCAGTAAAACATATATCAACAGATATCGTCGCATGTTTTACAATAGAAATAACAATTTTAAATAAGTAAATAATTCATTTTGAATTTTTCAGTATTCAGTGGTTGTGCCTAATATTCCACTAACTGTCCACAGATGGCAGAAGTTGTACAGGAGAAAAGTCGTGGCTTGAAGTTTGCAGAGCAGCAACTCCTGCGTCACGGCTGGGAACATGGTAAGATAATATTGGTCTGTTTTGTGCAACAATCCAACCAACACCACCACAATGTGGCAGCCTCAGGTTTCTTACTCAGTCCACTCTGTCCTCAGGTAAAGGACTGGGACGAGCGGAGAATGGCATATCAGAAGCTATCAAGGTCAAAGTGAAATGTGACAAAGGAGGGGTGAGTGTGCAATGATACATGAAGATCTTTTTTTGGGTTTCTTTTTTCATTATTAACCACATCTGTCTCTGGTTTGGTCAGAACTAGAGAGTTGTTGTTTGTAGATTCACATGTTGCTCCTCTCCAGGTTGGCCATAAGGAAGGAGAGCAGTTCACCTTCCACTGGTGGGATCACGTCTTCAATAAGGCCTCTTCCAGTCTGCAGGTGGAGTCTGATCAAGTAGGTCTTACCTTCACATGTCTGAACACACAATCACCTGCACTCTCACACAACACAACTGGTGGACTAGACATTTTTATCTAAAGGGTAGTGATGCAGTCTCGCCACGTTTGAAAGGTTTTGTGTGTGTTGTGTTTATTTTATTTTATGCTAACAGGGTGACTTGTTTCAGAATGAGGAAATAACTTGATATAATCAGCTCATTTATTGGTCAAACATTAGCTAAGTTAACCACCTCCTCCATTTGTGAATGTAGCTGTATTGAGCCACTTTGTTGAGTCAGTGCCGATGTGTCAGAGAAACAACTTTGAAGAGTTAATGAAAGATGTGTTTAAACTCTGAACTAAAGTTACCATTGAAGTCACTTTGTGGTGTCTTTGAACTAAAGAAGTTTCCCCACAAAATCACTGATTACACTGATTAGTTCCTCCTCTCTTGTCAAAGAGGAGAATCAGCTGGTTTAGTCTTAAACAGAGAGTCAAGTGTTTTGTGGTTTTCATCCAGGGCGGTATTAAGTTGAAGAAGTCGGTGGAGGAAGATGAAGAAGATGGCACGATCTCCAATAAGAAGCCACGGAAGGCCTCGCTGGCTAAAGCCAAACTTTATGGATGCTTTGTCAAGGTAATCTGTGCATTTCTCATTTACTAAGGAAATGCTCAATGAGTTCTAGTCCTATTTCTGGCACTACATATAACTGACCTAAAAGACATTTATACCTTTACATGTGTAACTTTGTGTCAGTCTGCTCTCCTTAGGGCCTAAACTGTGTGTGAGGTCTCATCACTTATGTTGACACACAGTGTGAAACAGACGGGCGTCCTGCCACAGTGTGGCAGTGATCATATTTCTCCTTGTTTGGTTTGCAAACCAAAGCTTGTAAACTTCCAAAACCTGCATTTACTGGGCAGAGTTTTAAATAAGTGTTACTCTGAGAGGTTACAGATTTATGAAGTGGAGAGGAGTCGGTACAAATCTTATTCCAGTTTTTCCCACTGGTGGAGAATGTATTTGTAGCGCAGCTTAATTCACAAACTAAGGAACAATGGCAAACATATACATTCATCTGGTAGACTTTGAATTTAATGGTCAGAACTTTATAGTTCAAATAAACCTTTACAAACATGCTGGATGTGATGCTTAAGGATGTTGTTTTGTTTGAGTTTCAGCGCCACAGCAGGAAGCATTCCAGTATTTTCAGATGTGACTGATTGTGGTCTGAAATGTCCCTGATAGTGTTTGCTTTTGTTGGCGTGCTTCTCTTTCAGTCAGCCACACTGATGTCTGGTCAGGAGCAGCCAGAGCCGAAGTCTTCCAACTCAGATGACAGCAGTAGCTCAGACGAGGAGGAAGAGGACCAGAGGCTGGATCTCTCCAGCACCACCAAGTAAGACCTTCACCTCAAACAGACTAGATTTTTGGGAACACTTTACTTTAAGCCCTTATAATAAACAGTTTAAAAGACAGTTTAACTCACTTATAAGTAGATATAAGGTCATTTTTAAATGGTTATTACAATATTTGTCAATTATAACTTCTATTTTGTACCATTACAGATGTTTCTTAATAGATATTCATTATTCATATGTTATTAATTCAAGTGTTTATACACTAGCCTCTACTCATGGGTGCCCACAGGAGGAATTACAGTAAATCAATAAACACCTATATCTGCTTACAACAACATTTATGTGTGTTTTAAACCATTTATAAAATGTTTACATACTGCTTAATGGAGGGGTTAAGTAAAGTGTTGCCTGTTTTCTTAGAACCTGTCTAATGCACGGTCAACATGACAACAGCGCCAGAGCAATTCTTGATTTCTTACCCTCTAATTGGTGTATTTAAGTTCTTTATAATCAATAAGGTTTTAACTGCTGTTTGACTTTATTATTCGGTCTCTTTGAATTGTCTACAAAACACTTTCATGTTCAATTTCAAACTTTCAATAATGCCATAAAATTGAAGCTACTCGTTGATACCCTCAGGCTTTCTGATGCCGATCTGATGAAGGCTTGTGGAGGACGCACGGCTCACAAGTAAGCTGATTAAATTCTACAAAATTTGAGTGCTACATCCCACTTGAAAGAAACAGGATGCCTCACACCCTTGTTTTCAGTAAAAATCACAGAGAAACTGTGAAATGTTTCAACATGACTGAATTTTCTATGCTGCTTGTGTTCTGTAGAGGAGCCAGACACGGCCTGACCATGAGCGCCAAATTAGCCAGGCTGGAGCAGCAGGAGGCTGAGTTCATGGCAAAGTATGGCAAGAAGAGCCAACCAGCAAGTGCCTCAGCAAGATCCTCCGGAAGCATTAATGAGCTAAATGGTAATGAAGTGTCTGAAAGTCCTGAAACAGACGTTAAACCCAAAAAGAAGAAGAAGAAGAAAAAAGCCTGTGGTGTAACTGAGGAAATAACTGATGCAGTTTCCACAAAGGATAATGTGATGTGTGTAGAAAATGGTGAAGTGGACCATTCTGACAAAACAAAGAGGAAGCATAAAAAGAAGAAAAACAAAGCAGAGTCCAGTGAAGAAGAAAGGGTGTCTTCACCTGCAGCGCAGAGCAAGAGTCCTGAGGAGACAGCTGAGCTGCACACTGACACTAAAGTGAAGAAGAAGAAGAAGAAGAAGAAGAAATCCTCCAAGCACCACAGTGAGGATGAGGAGAGAATCTGTACAGAATCCAGCCAGTCAGAGAAGGTCCAGGATGCAATTTCATACCAAAAAGAAAAAGTTACGGAGGAAGAATCAACAGTAAAGCAGAAAAGGAAAAAGTGTAAAAAGGACAAACTGTTAATAGATGATAAAGTAGATGAGGAGGCACTTCCTCCAAAGAAGAAAAAGAAGTCCACAGTGTAGTATTTGGCTGACTGGGGAACTTAGCTTTACATTAAATCAGCGGCGGAGTGAAACGTGCTAAACGTGGATGATTCGGAGGCTGTGCTCTCTGCTTTGACCTGTAAATGGTGTTTTCCACTGATTGGACAATAACTTTAATCAGTTATTCAGACCAGTAACAAGATGATGACATCAAGAAGTTGTGCTTCTCCTGCCTCTTGAACGACCTCACTTGAAATCTGTCAAATAAATTTTTCGAAGAGCATTGATTATTAGCTTTTGTATATTTAGTAGCCTGTCGCAGATTTACAAGTGACTGAGAAAATCAGGTCTGTTAAGGTTTATTAAGGTTGTTGCTGGTGGTGCAGGCTTTTTTTTTTTTTTTTTAAGGTTGTTGATTGTCTACAACTTGAAATATGTGCAGCTCAATGAGCCAATTAATCTTTTATTTTGATGCTGTAAATCATTGTTTTGATGAGTCAGCACTCTCAGCTCATCCATACAGTGCAGCCCCAAATGCAGCTTTTCTAAGCTGACACTTATAAAGAAGTAAATCTGACATTTGTGCAGCCAATTAAAAGTAAGTTGTCTGTGTTGACCACTTCATGGGGAATTTTTAGTGGAAAACGAGTATGAAATGTAAAGAGTTAATTGTAGTTTCTGCACCTCCTCTACGAAGGAGCTGCCAACTTTGCTGTATTTTTATTATAAGGACAAACTATTACAACAAATTCTGAACTTTATATGCAAATGAATGGCACATTAAACTCCACTTGTGTGATTCTTTCAGATTTACAGATTTCATATTTCTGTTATTGGCTTAAACAAGAAAAAACGACACCATAGAATTACAATAAAAAGAAAAAAAAAAAGGAATTCATTATACAAATAGAAAGAATATTGATACGGATTGACCTTAACTTCATAGTGGGGACAACTACTGCCTTCAATTTGTTATCTCTAACCATGTAAAAATTACAATCTCTTTAGCACTTACTTCCAATTTCTTTCACCCACAACATCGTGTGTCAACAGTTTGTCAACAGCTCATGACAGATTTGACACAAATGACGTATTAAATGCATGCAGTGTTTCTGAATGTGAAATTACCTTATTGCATGTTCCGTTCTTACTTTTAGATCATTTGCCCACACGGCCTGCTTCCACCCTAATATGAAGCACGGTAGCCTAGGGACAGTGTGCATGTGAAATGCAATACGACCATCTTGTATGGTAAGAATATGATAAGGCTCATATCCAGTAATAACCTATATTCAGTGATACAAAAATTGGGGGAATCAAAATGTCAACAAGCGTAAAGGTTCTCCAAGTAGACCAACATTTTTTTTTATCTATGACAAATCTGTTATAATGTCGCAATGTGCAAAACAAATTTCCACACTTTTCAGTGCACAACATGCAACACGACGAACACAGAAACAGACGTTTGCTGCAACAGTTTGTGGATGCGTACAAGTCCAATATATTTAGTCCGATATCTATAATGAAAGTATATTCCCAGTAAAGGTAATTGATATCTAATTGCTTTAATTCAAAGATAATTACATTGACAGATGATTCAATTCTCTAACCTCCATCCCAACAAATGAGTGCTAGCTGGGCTGTGAGTCCTAATCTCCAGTGGAGATTATATGTTTGAAATTTCTCATTTTAAGAACTGGTGATACAATTTTGGAAATGTAATTTGCAGGCAACATGTAGAGTAGGAATACACTAAGCAAACAAATATTACTAGTTACCTAATTGGACCTTGTCAGGACGTCACTCTCACAGATGAATCTGTTGTACATTACACAGTCTGCTGGGTCCCAGCTGGCTGTTGGGTTTTTCCTAGGGATCATCAGTGCACATGGACCATCGTCACCAAGTTGATCCTTCATCCAGTACCTCCAGACACAAACATGAATATCATTATCTTTGATAACCTTTCTGCTAGATAATAAATAAGAACAAATAAAGAGAGGATACAAAAGTAATGAGAATTGAATATGAAAAAAACAAATGACATCATGTGAAGATTTTTATTCATTCCACTAGTAAGATATGTAGAGGTTTGTTTATTTATTTTTGACTCTCAGTTCAGTTTACTCTCCACATTGGAAACAGCAATCATAAGGTTTCAGTTGTATCACACAATGTTCCTCAGCAGATTACATGTATTCATCCATGTTGGCGTAAATCTTGAGAGTGAAAACTTCCATCTCAAATGATAATTCTGTCATTATTAGTGGCGAGGCAGCCTTGTTGCGGTGCTAACAAAACTGACTTCATGTTATGATTGCTGTCAAGTGAAACCTGCCAGATGCTCATGAAGCAGAGTTGGGTAAATTCAAATGCTCACTAAGGTTTTCTTACCCCAGAGTGTCATTGCGTCCATCAACCCAGAGCCAGTCTGTATCAGAGGTTTGATGTAATCCGATCCAGTATCCATGAAATCTGTCGTAGTAGTACTTGCTGTGATTAGTGATGAATTCCTATCAATCATACCACGGCAGATTATTAAAAACGTGAACTCTTTCACACTTCTATGCACTGATTCTGAGAAAACATTGAAAACACTCAACTTCCCCCATGTTTAATTTAAATTTAAAAACTAATTCAAACTGTGAATTTGTATTATGGTGGTAGAGCTCACCTGTTCTTGTAGGTTATCAATAACAACCAGATGTGCTGCTGTCTTTTGGCAATACTTTTGGCTCTCTTGCCATTTCAACCAAAGAACTTTCGTGTAAAACAGATAGCACTTTTCCTGGAATAGAATCCAGCCTTTCTGACACGGTTGACACTCTATATTCATGAAATAAGCAGAGAAATGGAACAAAATTTCAATCTGTTATTTTAAGCACACGAGGCCCTAATGACAGAACTGCTTTTTCTAGATCGAGCATACCAGTGCACTTTACAAGTACTGCATAACACCAATAAAACATAAACAAGCAGATTTTATATAAGCTTGGGCAACACCTACCAACATTACATGTGATTTATGAGCATGGTAAACATTAACATTTAGCTCAAAGCAACGTTGTGGTTTATAATTTAGGCATTACAAATTAGCTAAGGCTAGTGAGGCTCATTAAGCATGTGTGCCAATACAAATAAACATAAATAAATAGCAATTCAGCCTCACAGAGCGGCTAGTATGACTTTATACTTAGTCTTGGTGGTGTTGTTTAGAAACAAAGTCCTACACAGAGATGGCGGCTAACTGCTTAAATATGGTATATGGTATGCCCTTGTTGGGGGATTGTCTGAGGGCACGCTTTTATCGTAGCTGTTTTGTGACTGCTTTTAGCAGAATGTTTAGCTTTTCTGCAACCAGTTTAATGCAGACTAAGCTAGCAATTTTATAGCTGCCTAAGGCTAATGTGTTGCAAATACAACATTTTGAATAACTGTTCATTTCCTGTTGGGCTAACTGTTAATGCGCTATGTATTATCTCTTTTTACTTTTGCTCTTGTGGGCTCTGTGTTTACCACTGTGTTGTATTTCATATGTGGTGATATTTAGCTTTTTATTTTGAAAACTATTAATTTTAGTTGTTTTTTCTTGTTATGACACAAATTAGTTTGGTATCTCATCTTTTCCTTATTTCTAATCATCATCATTGAATTTGTTGTCAAAGATGCTTACAGTAAAGGCCAAATCTTTACTTAAACCTTTACTGAATGTGTGAGCTTACTGTATAGCTAAATCCTGCATGTAGGCCTATGTCAAAACAAATGTGTCCATACATAATAAGTCATTTGTGAGTTAAGAGCTAGGCATATTGTGTGTGTCATCATAGTAAAGTACTCACTTTTCTCAGGGCAGTATTCATTTACTGGAAAGGTGTTAAATTTCAGGATGACACTGAGCGTCCAGTTGAGATCATCTCTGTCTCTGCTCAGCTCCTCTGTCATATTCTCTAAGACGCTCTTCTCCATCATCAGCTGCTGATATTCTGTCGTGAGGTTGATCAGGTTTGCTTTGTAGTTTGCTTTCTGTTCTTTCATTAACATACTGACTATGGGGCGGATGAGAAAAAGACAGCGTATGTCAGTCAGTCAGTGGATGCAAAAGTGGTCATCAAAGAAGCAGGGCTCCTGACATTTTTAGATCGACTGCTGACCTCCTAGCATTCCTCCCAACATCCAAACTCAGAAAGGAGTTTTTTTCTTTTCTTGACACAACTATTTGTCACTTTTTTTTTTTTGTTGCTAATGCTACATAGCCAGCGTTAGCATTAACAACTGTTTACCTAGAGGAAGAATCTAGAATAAACGTTGCGAGTTCAGCGTCAATCTTCATTCCAACTTCAGCATTAACAGCTGTTTACTTACCAGAGCTTCAGCCATTGTTGCATTTACAAGTGGTTATAAATACAGCCGGGCCACCTGCTCAGGGCAGACTGGATGCTACAGTGACTCAGTATCAGAAAGTGATGCTATAGTCTGATCAGACCAGAGCTGGCTGGTTAGCATGCAAACTTTTGTAGAAGAAAAGAAGTGATGTACAATGAAGCCGAACCACAGTTAACATTGTCGTTACTTCCCACCACTGGAGACAGCTCTTGGTGAGTAAAGGAATAAAATTTGATGCTGAATTCGCATCATTTCTTCTAGACTGTAAACAGTTGCTAATGCTAACACTGGCTATGTGGCGATAGCAAAGCCTACAAATAGCTCCTTTAAACGCAGCAGCAGGTGGAGCTTTTGAAAATGTTTCAGCTCACTGCTGCAGTACATGGTGATACTAAAACTTTAAAAAAAAAAAAAGAAATAGGTGAAATCATCATTGTGAGCAACATTAAAACTGTTCAATGACTGAAACATAAATGACTGCTGAAAAAATCCATACAGAAACTTCATAATATAAAATGCTTTAATATGCTTTAGAAAATGATCCAACAACAGGCTGTACACGTATATTGAAATCTACTCACTGTAGATGATAGCGCTGATGCTCGTCACCAGAAGGACACAAAGTATTCCCAAACACACCACCAACAGGCAAGAGTGCTGAGAGTGTGCGGCTGGTTCGCCATCTGCTTGTAATGAATAAACTCATTTTCAAATCGTGATGGTAATTTTTTTTTTCCCCCTTTGTCTTCTGGGATTAGATGACTGAAATGATCACTGTGACTTTTTCCACTGTCACTTCTATAATCGTACAGGAAATTAATATAATTATTTGAGTTTTTTATCAGCTTAAGGAGTAACACTGCCAAAAGTCTAAATGTCAGAATCGCTCACATTCATGTTTGATGTGAAAAGGCTCCGAACAGGTTGGGAAGAGCAAATTTTGCCTAATTTGGTTCAATTTTCTCCTTTGTGAAGCATTTTGAAACAACTGTTTTGAGAGATCCTCTTGAAATTATAATGAAATAATATATGAAGTGTGAATTTATACTTTTTTTCCCACAAGTAAAGCATATTGTACATTTTGAAGTGTTTAAGCTTAAATGAAAATTAATTAATTTATTTAACTTACTTGGTGCAGCAGTTGGAGGCCCTTTAGATTTTACTGTAGAATAAATTGTTGAGTCTTCATTTTTCTCTGGTTGATGAACTATATTGAGAAATTATAAGAGACAGTTTACGGTGATGTTTTTCCCCAGTGTCACGATGAAATTACAGTATGTGTAACTGTCGAGTCCAGAAGGGACATAACATGGTGATTGTGTGAATGCTTGCAGGTTTTATTGCGTGAGAATGTAATTTGATGAATTTCTGCTACCTGTGCAAAAGCTGTAATGTGAGAGCAGATTTCACACAACAATCTTCTGCTTCTCACTTTGTTTCCAGTTAAGAGGAATGTTTCTCTTGTGTTGACTCGTGTGAGATGTATATAATGAACATGTAAAGGAACACCAGGTTAGTTCGTTTTTTTTTCCAAGAAAGAAAGAGAGAAAAGACGACGGAAAGAGAAGCAGAGTAAGAAATGCGATTATCGGATAAACAGTTGTTCAAAGAGTCATTGCACAGCGTGAGGTTCCAGCAGCGGCAGAAGAAACAATCCAGAGCACTTTTCAAGCTCATACAGGAAAACAAACAGCCTTTTCTTCAGCATGGCTAAGGCACTTTAACTTTAAAATCCATTGTGTATGAAGTTATTAATTGTTAAAAATTAGGAATTAAGAATTTCAGTGTGATTTCTTTTTGAAAAAAGGTTAACTAGTTAATCCCAGTGACATGTTTTATTTCAGTAAAGTGAGAGTCCCTTACCTTTTGGAGGTTTGCCACCATTTTTGAAAACCACAGTAGAATAATTTAATTCTTCTTCCATCCTTAAAAGTCACACGTTGCCGTACTTGCTTTAGTGGAGAGAATGAGAGCAGGATTCAACAGAAACTTTTGCTGATGCTTGAAAGGTGTGACTGAACCAACTTTCACAGCACAGCAGTATCTGATGGAGAACCAACAAGAGTTTCCTCTTTCCCCTCAACACGTTATAAACTGCACCTTCTCAGTTTGCATTATGACACGTTTTTACCGGACAATGTAAAACAGCGACGCTGGAGCCACAGTGTGGCTTTGTGGTTACTGGTTACAAAAGATATGTGTAATGTGTGTTGTCAGACGTCTGTATCCTTCTGTTACAAAAGAAGCGCCACACACAAGCAAGTGTGTGATACTGAACTCAATATATTAACCTGTCTGGGACATTAACTCACATCTGGATTTATCAACTGATGATCAGTTTAGTTGTGACACACCATGTGATGAGACAAGCTAAGGCTATTCTGTATTTTTGTGCACACTGTGTTTTTTTTAATGAAATAGTGCATTTGTTTGAGGACTATATTGAGCCGCAGTTTAATGCACATTTGGTGCTCTAGTGCGTATTTACAGCACCAGGACGGTGTATGTCGGATTGACTCAGAATAAACCACCGCATGTTCCTCATAATGTACGCAGGAACAGTGCAGCAGTGTGGCTCATTAATGTGTTTTTGATAGTTTTTTGGACAACAATGAGACTCTATGACACAGTCTGTAGCTACATAGACGTGTGCGTGTTTGAAGAACCAGTTCATTGCTTTTTGTGGAATTTGCTGACAATAAGAAAAATATAGAATATTACCAGATTCGCCCTTCAAATTAGTCCTCCCACCAATCTCCTGCCACAATATACATTATTTAATTCAAAGGACATGTGGGTTTATGTTCAACAAATATAAAGAAATGATCACATTTATTCAGCACAAAGATGATAGACTGATAGATGATCAGTACACGTGTACAAAGGCTGACATATATTTCTATACATAGTATTCAGCAAGGTATGTCATGTAAGTGGCAGAAGGGACAAAACTTCAACATCAGTGAGACCCCATCTTATTACTCCTACAATAACTCAATAGTAATACTGTAGTATATAGTATACTATGACTACTAACCATAATAATAATGTTAATTGTATATATATGCTGCCTTTGTAGAAACTGCAATAAAAGTAGAAAAGAGAAATGGATATCTTTAGTTTTAATATTCAGTCGTAACAAAACAAAACAGAAAGATAGACAATTTGATTTCTTAAATGTGAAATAACTTATTTTGATAATGAGACTGATTCCTAATCCGCTTTGATCAAGGCTCTTCTTTCACAGATATAGCGGTTTTTCATGCTGCAGCCCGCTGTCTGCCAGTTGGCCATAGGATCTTCATGTGGCAAACTTAGAACACAAGGCACTCTGGGGTCAGGTTCCTGTGCTGTCCAGTACCTGGTGAAGAAAAAAACATCACATGATCTTCCATCTGTGTCCCTGCTTACATCTTGGGAAATACGCTCTTTTCTTTTCTTGCAAAGAGTTAGATGAGAAGACTGATACCATTCCCATGTCTGTCTGTGAGGTCTATGACGCTATAGCCAACAGCCAATTAGCTTAGCTTAGCATAAAGAATTGAAATTGAACAACAAGCCCAGCTTTGTCCTAATTTACCAAATTTCGCCCACTAGCACCTCATTAATCAACTTGTTGGAGTTTTCCAGGAAGTCAGTGCTCCCAGCCTAAATAAAAGAAAAAATCTGTGGCACATAACTTGTAACCTGTAACAATGTGAAACATTAAACTCTGGTTTTTACACTTTTGTCTCTTCTAGTTAGTGTTTGGAGTCTTATCGTGTTCAGGAAGTCACAGCTCACAGTCAAGAAATAGTTCTGCTCACACCTCACAAATTGTTGTTTTTTACATGTTAGTTTTTATACAGTTTGAACAGTTAAGCAAAATCAAGCTTTTTGTTTTCCTTTGTTTCATTCTGTTTCCAGTTTATGTGCTAAACTAAGCTAACTGTTCACTGGCTGTAGCTCCAAATTAAGTATATAGACATGAAACTGATATCGCTCTTCTTATCTTCTCTTGTCAAAAAGGCATGTTGAGGTATTTCGCTAAATTCTCTGCTGCACAGTTCATTGTTGATATGTGTGTGGCATTCCCCTGTTCTGCACGAGAGTGAAGTAATGTGTGAGTGTCTGAGTTGTGTCACACTGTGTGCTGTCAGTGTGTCTCTGTACAAGTGTCAGTTTAATGCCAGACTGATTTCTAGAGTCACTGTTAGAGTTAGCAAATAAGACCATTGTCAAGACAACTGGTAACCTTAGCCTAGGGTTGCCTTCTATGTGAAGAAATAAGGGACTTCCTCTGTTTGAGGACATAGTTTATAAATTAAGTCACTTGTACAAAAATACGGGACAAATTGTGTGGCATTTTATTTTCAAATGCAGGACGATCTAGTTTTGTACGAGATACGAGATTATACCTGGCAACCTTATCTCAGTCTTTGTGTCCCCCCTCTTTGCTTCTGTTGGGAGAGGCTTTATTTTTGGCATTGAAAGGGATTTTTCCTTCAGAGTTTTATTAATTTCATCATCTGTCCTTTGACACAAAGTGTTATATGCAGCATGCAGGAGGGAAGATGCTGCCAGTCTCCATGCTGATGGTCTGGTTTGTTTGGAGTAATGATAAAAACAATGTGCCAGATTGTTGTCATGGTTCATTGAGATTAAAGTGACTGTTAGTATGTTTTTGTGCTTACATCATGGTGACGTTGCTTCCATCTACCCACATCCGCGTGTCCATCTCATTCTTACTCAAGCCAATCCAGTAGCCATGCCTTTCATCACGATACTCTTCAGTATGATTACTGATGAATTCCTACATTTGTGATACAGGTGTTAATTGTCAAGAAAGATATATATCTCTCTGTGTCCACTATGATATAATAATAATAAGAAATACAACAATCTTCAGTATGTTTCATAAAACAAAGATCCAATACAATGTGCTTCACAAAGTTAGGCTTAAAAGATGAAAAACATCATCATGAGAAGACAGATCCAAGAAATAGGAACATTAAAAACATTGAAGGCATGTGAAATAAATTTAAAGATCTGAGTTTCGTTATCTATAGCGACACCTATGGCCATAGATGGTAAACGCAGGTTTGTTATTGAACCACACTTGAGTGGCTCAATCACAATTGTGTGACCACGTTTGGTGAGAGAATGAAAACCTTTGAGATTTCCACTTTAAATATGTGGTTCTACTGCAGGGTACAATGCAAATCATTTTATTTACATGATTATAAGGGAAGGAATAACTTTGCATATTAAAATCAAATCATCTATTGTGTCTAAATTATTGTTTCATATGTACACACTTTTAAAGACTGTGACATCTCTATCTCCAGTAACTAAGTACTGTACCTACTGAATTTTAAGGTGCTTGTACTTTACTTAAGTATGTCCATTTTCTACTACTTTATACTTCAACCACACTGCAATTCCAGAGGGAAATAACCTTTTTAAACCACTACATGTATCTGGCAGCTGGAGTCACAAGTTACTTTTTGAATGAAGATTATACATGTGATAAACTTATAAAATACAGTACAAATGTGTGTAATTTCAGATGTCTATGAGTTGTTAGCAGTTCCACCGAAGAGATATTTCCCCTCAAATGGTTTCATTTAATTATTAAACTGTTTGACATCCACAGAGGTAAAATTATCCAACATTTCACATTTAAGCAAAGATTGGAGAAAAATCCAAAAACTGAAAATGACTCCTTGGATTTATCTTGTGACCCTTTGGAGGGACCTGACCCCAGAGTTGGGAACCACAAGTACATTTCACTGATAATATTATGTAGGTTACTTTTACTTTCGAATGCAGGACTTTTACCTTGTGTTATTGGTACTTTCTTTAAGTAAAGGATCTGAGTAGGGTACATATTCCCCCACTGACCTATGAAGATAGAGGTGGAGTGCTTTTAGCTTATTTGAGCATGAAAATACAAATTGAATCACAAAATCAGTCTTGCCTGTTCCTCCTGGCTGTCAATCACCACCAGATCTGCCATGGTTTGTTTGCAGGATGCTTGACTTTCCTTCCAAGTATTCCAATAAGAAGAATATTTATCTTTTGAAAACAGGTAACAGCTTGATTGGAAAGGTACCCAGCCATCCAGACAAGGTCTACACACTGTTAAACAAGAATGAAATAACAAAATCACAGTCATTTTCTATTGTATGTATATTATGCATTAAAGAATATATATTCTCTGTATGTCTTTTCAATAATAGATAGTTATATGCTTAACCAGGTAATATTTTTTAGTAAGTTATTTTTTGGGGAGCTTTTTATGCCTTTATTAGAGTAGCAGTGAGAGAGAGACAGGATGGTTGTGGGTGAGAGAGGGGATGAAGGGCCGTGGGTCGAATTCAAACCCAGGCTGCTGCGGGAAGGAGTGAGTCCTAATGGTATGCGCAGTAACAGGTGAGCCACCGAGGCGCCGATTAATCAGGTAATTTGACTCAAATTAAAAATGTTTATGTTGCAGAAAGTTCGAGCTATGAAAGAGTCATAATCATAAAACAGTAAAAGTAAAATAGAAATGATATCACAAATATAATACATTCATAATTTAAGAGTTTAAGAGGTTCAACAGCAGGAAACAAACAGGAATGGGAACATTGACAAATTTAATATAATATACTAGTTTAGTTTAGTTTAGTTTAGTTTATTTCGAACATGTGCGAGTAACACAACAAAGTAAACTGAAAAACAAACAAATCCAATAACAATAGTCAAAACAAAAATAATAATGTGAACCCAACATGTCCGAAAAGGAGTAGGATGAAGCATATGCTTATTTAAACCTACCCCTTCTCCACTACTCAATTATCAGTCTTTCTCCCCAAACATATATATTTACATAAAAAAGAAGAAAAAAAAAAGAAGTAGAAAATAAATAGATTAAATTAAAAAAAAATCAATAAATCATTTATCATTTATGAAAACAGCCGATTATTAAAGCCCTTCTTCCTCCCTGTACCTTGTGAAAACCATGTGTTTGTACTGCTTTTTAAACTGGATCATGCTTGGACATTGCCTGAGCTCCACACCCAGTCTGTTCCACAGCCTCACTCCACAAACTGACAGACAAAAACTTTTTAGTGTTGTTCGTGCCCGTGGATGTTTTAAGTTGAACTCACCCCTCAGATTATAACCCCCAACTCTGTAAAAAAAATTTTTTTTGAATATTTCCAGGAAGTAGATTGTTTATTGCTTTGTACATAATTTGTGCTGTTTGGAAATGAACCAGGTCAGTGAATTTTAATGTTTTTGATTTTAAGAATAGTGAATTTGTGTGATCTCTATAACCGGTATTATGAATTATTCTTATGGCTATATCTTATACTATCTTATACTATAATATAATATAATAATGTATATAAATTTGGCATATTTTTTGCATAAACTGTAATTTTTTTTCACCTTTCTGTGGACAGTAGGTATTCACTGGAAAGTTCTCATGTTCCAGGATGACTCTGATGGTCCAGTTGAGTCCGTCTCTCTCTCTGGTCAGCTCCTCTGTCTGTCGCTCTAAGTCTGTCCTCTCCTTCGTCAGCAGCAGATTCTGCGCTGTTAACGTCATGTTTTCTCTGTTGTGCTCTGACATGACTGTTTTCACTGCAGTCAGGGAAGACACTGTTACAGTGGCACTCACTTACTATTGTCAAAGGTGCCTTAGTGGACAGGTGGACGGACAGGTGGACTTACAGTGGATAGTGAGGGCGATGATGACTGACACCAGGATGACACAAACAACCCCCAAACCTGCTGCCACCAGATGAAGCAGAGTACATAGTGGAGCTTTCTTTTCACTTTCTACCAAGAACAACAAACAATTGATTTATTACACACATTTATGGCAAATAGTTATAACATTTCTTTTTTTATTATAATAAACCACAAATAACCTTGTATGACAGGATCTGTATCCCACACCTGCTCAGCCTTCACCTCATCATAGATTATTTCCAGGTCATTTGTTTTCTCTGTAAAACACAAAACAGCTGTTTGGAAAGCAAAACTTTGAGTTCTCAGATTTGTGACTTTCAGGGCCACTGCTTTATAATTAAAACATAATATTATAATTGCAAAGTTAACAATTCTTTCCATTCAAATACAGCTTAAGTTAAAACTTAATACTGACATGCTCTATATCTGTGACTGGTCCCCTCCCAAACAGCGAGCTACACCTCCATAACATGACCCCAATCACAAGTAATATTCAGTAATATCAACAGAGAATGTGGCTTTGATGAAGTTGAGCACACTCTATGTGCAATCATACATAAAGACATTTATTCTAGAAAGAGTCTGAGAGCTGCCTGGTACTGCATGTGCAGAGTGACCTCCTCAAACATCAGTGATAGAGGCAGCACTCAAATTCTTTACTTTGCTAAAAACAGAAATACAACTAAATTACACCATTATACAAGTGAAAATGCTATTCAAAATCTTACTCAAATACAAATATTATAAGTAAAATGCGTTTAAAGTAAGACATAAAACCAGAATGAACCCTGTCAGAGTTTCTCTACTATACAGTATATTATATGGTAGGAAGTTTGTATGAAGTTTGGTGAAGCAAATTTTAACTGATGAGTTACTGTATGGAGTAGTTCAAAGTCAAACAATGGATTATATTTTAGAAGCTGGCCATATGTTTTGTATGTAAAATATTACTCTTCAAGTATGTCTGTCAAACAAATGTAGTGGAGGAAAAAGTACAATACTTCCCTGTTACAGTAAATGCAGTGGAGTGGAAGTTTAAAGTTAAACATATAAAGTACAAGTTCCTCAAATCCAGAGTGACTGTTAAAACACTTCTGGGTTCAAGTGCAATTAATAACTTCAGGCTGTGCTCCAAAATTCAGAATATATGATTTACTCTTACCCTTGAAAGTCACCGTTACATAATTCAGCTCTTCCTCCATAATTATAAGTTGTAGCATGGGCATGGCAGCTGATCAAATGCAGGTCATATTGGCTTCAGGGGTTCAGCAGCAGAGAAACCAACTGTGGCTGGTTTCATGACCCATAGTTCTTCTTTTTGGGAGAATGTTGTAAGACAGAAAAGTGGTGCTTTCGGTCATTGATGTTCTTGATAGTCATGTCCGGGTGGGCGGGAGTTATGACAGCTTACACTGGATAAAGGTCAGGCCGCCACACTTCTTATTATGACATGAATGAAACAAAAAAGTTAAGATAAAATCACTGGCGGTAAAATCATCTCTTACAGGTGGTTTGGTTGTAATGCAGACAACAAAGTGTCATCCCTACATACATATCCACTGTTTTGACACTGCTGCACTGACACTGCAGTAAAGCAGAAACATCTTTGAAAAGACAGAAAGATGTTTGCAACATATGAGTTGGATGAGCGGTAATTGTTGGTTTTTACAAAATAAAAAAGTCTAAAAAGGGGAAAACAATAAAACATGCACGGTGATGTGACTTTCTACATTCATGCAATCTGTTCCTCTTCTGCTCTCTGCTGACCAATAATGTGAGAAATCACCTCGCATGTTCCAGGCCAACTTCTTTAAAAATCTGAATTAAGAGACATGGCTGACTTTACTGCAAAAAGTAAGTAGATAAACAGATAGATTTGACCTTTTTGTCCTAATATTTTGCAACACTGTTTGTCCACCAGATAGGGAGTTAAAACTTTACTTAGAGACAAAATATACATTCAAACTTCAACTTCTCTATCTTTAACTGATATTTGCTCAAATTGATCAATAAATGACGATGGAAGTTGAGAGGTTCAGTACAGTGGTGTAAAGTAGTAAATTAATTCAAGTGCTGTTCTTAAATGCATTTTAAGGTACTTTTATTTTTGCTTGAGTAGATCCATTTTGTGTTACTTTAAACTTCTACTTTACCACTTTTCAGAGAGAAATACTTATCTTAAACAACAGTACTGCCCACATGTTAATGCATCATTAAAATGCTTCCATAGTTATAACAATTTAAAACTGTGTTTATGAGTGTTTTGAGCATAGCTTTTAATGAATCATTAATGAATACAGTCAAATATCAGCATGTGTGTGTAACCAGACAGAAACTGTATTGAATATTAATAATAACAAAACAAAAAGTAATAAGTGCAAGCATTATATAATAATCATTCAAAGAAATAGGGGGAAATTTGAAAATAAAAACAACATTAAGGTAACACTAATGTAGTAATACACTGCAACAAATTAAACTCACATAAATGATATTGCACACAACAATATTCTGCACCCAGTTAAGTGTCTGAATTGAATTAAACTTCTAAATTCGCTATTTATATGTCTTCACTTTTACAACTTTACAAATGACATGCTGGCAACCACAACAGATGAGGAATCTGTTGTGGGGACTTTTAGCCACTAGGGGAACTATAGAGCACAATCATGTGGGGAAAAATATGTATGTTTTAATTTGACGATCCATCTGTCATTCAAGTGAAGTAAACCCAAACACAACATCCTTGAAAGGCTTCAAAACGAATATGAACATTGTTATTCTGTTATTTTGCGAAATTATTGGATATAATTGTCTTTTTTTTAACTTATAGATTCAACTTTTTTTTTTCCTTTTTTTTCTAACAAAAAACGAAGTGAGGGATTATTTTAGTAATCTTTCACCTCTATTGATCTGAGTTAATTTGTAACTGGCTATAGAAAAGCAAAAAGTGACTCGTGTTAACAGATGCAACTGACAAATCAGCGCGCGAGGATCCTTCCAGGAAGCGCTCCCTGGTTTAGTTTCCACCTGCAGAGCAGCAGGTAGCTACAAGGAGCCAGAGAGTCTCAGGACCGACGCAGTCTCACAGAGAAAGCTGGAGAAATATCTTTGTATTTAGGACAGTCCGGAGATCAGCGATGGTTTGTGGGGGATTTGTTTGCACCAAGAACGGGCTCTGCGCTCTCAATATCCTGTATGTTGTAAGTAGGACTTTAATGCTGTTAAATGTTTTTTTCACCGACATGTAGTTGGTCCTAGAACAAGTGCTTGAAGTGGCGTTCAGTTTCCTGTCTGCGTCTCGGGAAATGCGGTACTGGCCGGTTAGTTTGAGTCTAAAGGAGATGAAAATGTTCGAGCTGTTTTCTGATCAGTTGGAACAGGCAGGTGTTGGTGGTGGTTGATTGATTGGGCCAAGTTAATGGTAGCTAGTTGCTTTTGTCAGTGGTGGTTATTGGTAGCTGGTGTATCCCTGAACAGTCTCACGAAGAATCTTCTTGAGGACATTAACATTATGATGTTGTTTTTTTTTATTATTTCATTACAGTTTATTTAATTTATTTCTTGCATTCTCCTGATTTATATTGTATGGTATCTCTGGAGCTGTATGTGTGTGCATTAGTTTGTCTGTCATCCCCTGTTCTCCATATTAAATAACCAATAATAATTCAAATACCTGAGATAGATTTGTTTAGAGCTGCAGCAAGTGGTCAATTAATTGATTGACAGAAAATTAATTAGCCGTTATTTTGATAATCAAATAATCGTTTTTAAGGAAATATTACAAACACTCAGTGGTTCCAGCTTCTGAATTATGAAAATTTGATGCTTTTTTTTTTTTTGTCATTTGAAGACCTGTCACCCTGGGCATTGGGAAATTCTAACTTCAATAATAAGGAAACTCAGTTGCAGGATTAGATTTAATCTCAGTCCACTCTGGGTGGAGAAACAGCTCTCCGGTTCTCTAAACAGTGTAAAACGGCTGATTTTTAGCACAATAAGTACCTGTTTCTCTTCAACCTTTGTCCTGTAGATTAATGAGGGGCATAATGTAGAGCTGCTTTCAGGAATGGTGGGGACACGATGAAGTTAGGTTTGTGAAACAAAACAAAAAACATGTGACTGCTAATTCCTGCATTTATACACATTCATGTCAATTTAGGAAATGGCAAATTGTGATGAAACTGGTCATCATACTTTCTGTTTAGAGAAAAAAAAGAACAAACGTTATGTACATTTCTGTAATCTTAAACCCTAAAAATCATGTTCAGTTTCCCTGATGGACACCTGACATTTTATGATAAATAATTTTGCATTGACATCTGAAGACAACAGGTTGCAGTGAGAAAAAGCTGCTTTTACGAAGTTATCCTGCTCAGTGTGGACGTACTCCGAGTTTAATTTTTCAGACTATTAGTGATCAGCGACTGTGAAGGTCATTGTTCTTCCTTCTTCTCCCATGCCAACATTGTTCTTTCTGTTCCTCCTCAGTTGGTGAGTCTGCTGCTGATCGGAGTGGCAGCCTGGGGGAAATGGTTCGGCCTGGTCTCAAGCATCAGGGTGGTGGCAGGGGTCATCAGCGTGGGTATCTTCCTGTTCCTTGTTGCCTTTGTGGGGCTGTGCGGCGCCCTGAAGCACCACCAGGTCCTGCTGTTCTTTGTATCCTTTGGTTCAGGGAGTCGTCTTATTTTATTTCTCTGCTGGGCTTGTGTTTTTAATGGCTCTTGTGTAGCAGCAACACAGTGAGATTTCAGGGTGTTTTCATGATTGTTAATCTGACGTTAACTTCCTAAACTTGATCCAGTACATGATCATCCTGTTCATAGTGTTCGTTGTGCAGTTCGCTGTGTCCTGTGCTTGTCTGGCCCTGAATAAAGACCAGCAGGTGTGTTTGTTTCATCTGTGCTGAGTTGATAATATTATGCTATTTTTATTCTAACTGTAGATTTTACATAATTCTATATTTGTATAAACAAACATTATCCATGTCAGTGGTGGAAAGTAACTAAGTACATTGACTTAATGACTGTATTTTATTTTGAGGCACTTGTGCTTTACCTGAGTGTTTTTATTTCATTAATTTCTCTAGATAGATAGATAGATAGATAGATAGATAGATAGATAGATACTTTATTTATCCCCTAGGGGAAATTCATGTTTACAATAAATATCATTCAAAAGTGGGTCTTTTTCCAGAATGAGTACTTCTCATTTGGGTACATCAAGTATACTGTATATTAACATCTTTGTACTAAAGTAAAATTTTGAATGAAGTCTGCCCTGCAGTACTGCCACTTCTACTTAAGTAAATGCTCTGATTACTGCTTCACTGGCCCCTGTTCACATTTGTGATCCAGTTGACCGTCTTATCCTGCTGCCACCTAGTCTCAAGCTTTTCAAATAAATGCTGCTTTTCACAACCAGGCTGTGTGACTCTCCTTTACAGAACCTTCTGCTGGAGGCCGGGTGGAACAAATCCGAGGCCACTCAACAGGACGTGGAGAAAACACTCGACTGCTGTGGCTTCCAAAGTGTCAACTTCAATGGCTCCTGTGCTGCTGTAAGTAAACTGTGTGGGAGATTCTTTTCTCTTCGTCTCGGCAGCAACTTGATCTTCACGGACATGACCGTGTCTCTGTCTCTGGGAGTTATTGAATTTTTCTCCCTTACTTCCTCTTCCTTTAGAGCTGCTTTAAGAGCCCTTCACTGTCTTGTGAAACCTGCTCAAGCATCCTCCAGCACTATGCAGGGGAGGTGCTACAGTTTGTGGGTGGTCTTGGACTCTTCTTCAGTTTCACAGAGGTTGGTAAAACGTCACACTGACAAATCTAACAGGTTTTGAGGCTGCAGATGAATGTACTGTATATTCAGAAAACTGACACTTGTTTGTTTGTCTTCCTGTTCAGATCCTTGGAGTTTGGCTCACCCACAGATACAGAAATATCAAAGATCCTAGATCAAACCCTGGGGCTTTTCTATAATCACTCACAATTTAATAAACTGCACTGCTGAATAATTCTTTGTCCCCTTAATTTAGAAAACCACACATATCTGTACATTTATATGATTTAAACTGTAACGTTGGCTAATTAATTCCCACTGTCATTCAAAATTTTCCAGCATTAACCACCATAAGCGTGTCTTTTTCTTTAATTGCATATCTTTATAAGAATGGTTTGACATTTTGGGAAGTACACTTATTTACTTTATCACTGAAAGTAAATGAGATTGATACCACTCTGTCTGTATGGTGAATATTTAGCTGGAGCCAGCGGACGGTTAGTTTAGCTAAGCATAAAGGCTGGAAACAGGGGGAAACTGTTAGCCTGCGGCTCTGTCCAAAGTTCTGTAGCTCATTTACACATTATAGTCTATCTTGTCTGTTTAAATATAGGGTAAAAACTACAATTTAAGGTTTTACAGTGGGTTATGTTATACAATTTTTTTTCGGCTTGGACCATTGACTGAACACAAAATGGCTCAAAACCCGAACCAGTTGACATACAGTGTTGGCTGTTACTTTTGGACAGAGCCAGGCAAGCAGTTCACTCCTGTTTCCACTCTTTATGCTAAGCTAAGCTAAGCTAACCGGTTGCTGGCTGTAGCTTCAGACATAAGAGTGGTAATAATCTTTAAGTGATAGAAGCTCACAGCAGCTGTGTATGCTCACCACAGACACACACCTTATGCAAATACAATGCTGGTTATAGCACCATGATCGCTGAATGACTGTAGTCACCACTCCCAGATGAACTATTCACAGGTGACCACATACACTGGTGTGCTCTGCAGGCAGTGGGTTTGGGTGTTGGATGTCCTAATAGTAGGAAAAGATTAAGATCAAATCAAAGTAAAACCTGTTGCATCTGAATGGAGAGATAAATATTAAACCAAGCTTGTTTTTGTTTTATTTGTGTATTTATTGCTCTTTAATTTCTATAAAAAAAAATCTTAATGAATTTATAATAAATCGTGTTGCATCATATTCATCGTCTCACAGCCTAGTTTTCCTTAATTGTCCAAAATAACCATGCAGAGTTGCAAAACATAACACGGGAAATTTCCATATGTGCTTTGCTTGTTAGATCCGGTGTTGATAGACTGTTTCTCAGGAGAACTTGGTAACTCTGCACCACATGACGTTGCTCACATTCCTCACCCTAAACAGGATGCCAACCAGGAACTGCACTCACTGTTTAGGTTCCTCTGCATGGACTCAGCCGGTCCGACCTGTTCACCAGTGTCTCTGAACTCTGCCAAAATGTTATGTAAAGTCATTGTGTACACACCATGTTATTACCTCTATTCTACTGTATATTGTAAGTTGCACTTTTGTTTTTTGTCATTGCTGTTTGTATAACTGTAGACTCCATTTTTATGAGGTAGTTACTGTCTATAATCAAAAACTTTTAAATCAAATCAAATCAAATCAAATCAAAATTATTTTAATAAATTTTAATTTGAAATGAATTAAATAAAAAAACAGAGATTACAGTGTGTTTTACAGAAACTAAAACTCTGAAATTATTTTGTAAAATACTGTAAACTCAAAGGTCATTTTCCTCAGACATAGTAAGGCATAAAATGTCATAGTATAGTCAGACATAAAAATATCAAAAAATATAATACTATAGTAAGACAAAAAAAAACATCAAAAAACGTCATTGTATAGTTAGGCAAAAAAACTTCATAGTATAGTAAGGGATAAAATGTCATGGTATAATAAGGCATAGAAACGTCAAAAAAAGTCATAGTATATTAAGGTAAAAAAAACATCAAAAAACGTCATAGTATAGTAAGGAATAAAATGTCATAATATAGTAAGGCATAAAAAGTCATAAAAACGTCATCTGCTGAACCGTTTTACATTAAATAATAGAATAGAAACTAATACTAAGTTTGGTGTCATTGTGCAGGTGCACATGTCATGATGGTTCTCAGCTCTCAGTGATGTTCTTTATTCTGACAGAGACAGAATCATTCCAACAGATGTTTTGGTTCCTGTCATCAATAATGAAATGAACTAGAGCTGAAAACTAGCCAACTAACACTGAACCAAACTTAATATGAACAAACACGACACACACGTCCGCTGCTCTGCTCTTTAACAGCGCGTCCAGACACGACAGTTCACTGTAATAACGGGATCGTTTAGTGACCGTGACTTACCGACATTGACAACCCGCTGTCCCTGTTAACACTAAGGTCGGTGACGTCACCTTCGCTTTGCAGAACTCATTTTAAAACACGTTATAACATGTTTTCCCTTGGTCTATGGTTTTAATACAAGCGGTTACACCACACAGTTAGTTTACACACAGTAACTTCAGCTAATATTACAAAGGTTCTCCTCATATATGTGATATTTACCAAAAGTTGACCAGTTTGGAATTTGCTACCTAAGTTTATTTCAACACTAATATATAAAGTTTACCTCCAATTATGAATGCTAACTGTGTTAGCAGCGACTTCGTGTCACGTATCCAGGAGTCTGCTGCGGTCAGGTAGCCGGTGTAGGCAGCCGTGCATAGCAAAGACTCTTTCTACAGTTGTTCTTGTTATTACAGCCTGTTGCTGCACAAAGCTCGGGCATTTTAACACTAACTGATGGATTACTTGTCCCTGTTGGAGCAGAGAGAAGGAGCCTCCGACTCCACGGCCGGCTTCTCCTATTGGTGCAGCAACGATCCTGTCAGCCCTCACCACAGCTGCTGCCGTTTTAGCATCAGAGGAATAGAGCTTAAGAGCCCAGTCCATACATCATTAGTGGCGGCTGACATGATAGGCAGCTTGCCTCTTTACCTCCTTTGTGAACATTTGTGTGTAATTTGGTTTGAGATGCTGGTAGTGATTGTTGGGGACTGGGCTAGGTTTAAAATTCTAATTGTGCATTACACCCTTAGAAAAAGACTGTTGTTCGGGGCGTCGTGTGGCGTAGTGGTCCCCATGTGTAGAGGCTACAGTCCTCTCTGCAGTCGGCCCCGGTTCGAGTCCCGCATCGGACGGCCTTTACTGCATGTCATTCCCCCTCTCTGCCTCCCCATTTCCTGTCTCTCTACTGTCCTGTCGAATAAAGGCATAAAAAGCCCAAAAAAATATACTTAAAAAAAAAAAAAAGAAAAAGACTGCTCCTCCTTGAACCGTCACTTTACCGTGGTGGAGGAGTTTGAGAGCCCTAATGACCCTAGGAGCTATGTTGTCGGGGGCATTTTCCCAAGGCAGACTGGTCCCAGGTGAAGGGCCAGACGAAGAACGGTTCAGAAGAACGGTTCAGAAGATCCTAATGTTGAGAAATATCAAGAACCCGTGTACCCGGCCCGGAGGGACACCGGGGCCCCGCCCTGGAGCCAGGCCTGGGGTTCGGGCCCGTGGGCGAGCGCCTGGTGGCCAGGCCTTGGCCCATGGGGCCCGGCCGAGCCCAGCCCGAACCGGCTACATGGGTTTGTCTCCCAGTGGGCTCACCACCTGCAGGAAGAGTCAGCGGGATCCGGTACAGTGTGGCTTGGGCAGCAGACCTAGGCGGGGGCCTTGGCGGTCCGATCCTCGGTTACGGAAACTGGTTTTTGGAACATGGAACATCACCTCTCTGGCGGGGAAGGAGCGGGAGCTTGTGGAAGAGGTTGAGCAATACCGGCTAGATATAGTCGGCCTCACCTCGACACATAGCGTCGGCTCCGGAACCCAAGTCCTTGAGAGGGGCTGGTCTCTCCTCTTTGCTGTTCAGACTACCCACCTTTTTTTGGAGTCCTTGGGACGGGTGCTGGAAAGTGCCCCGAAAGGAGACTCCATTGTCCTATTGGGAGACTTCAACGCTCACGTGGGCAATGACAGCGTGACCTGGAAGGGTGTGGTGGGGAGGAACGGCCTGCCCGATCTGAACCCAAGCGGCGTTCAGTTATTGGACTTCTGTGCTAGTCACAGCTTGGCCATAACTAACACCATGTTCAAACATAAGGATGTCCACAGGTGCACTTGGCACCAGGACACCCTAGGTCGCAGGTCTATGATCGACTTTGTAGTCGTATCATCAGACCTGCGGCCGCATGTTTTGGACACTCGGGTGAAGAGAGGAGCAGAGTTGTCAACCGACCACCACCTGGTGATGAGTTGGATCAGATGGCGGGGGAAGACGCCGTGCAGACCTGGCAGGCCCAAACGGGTTGTGAGGGTCTGCTGGGAAAGCCTGGCGAAAGAACCCGTCAAAATGATTTTCAACGCACACCTCCGGCAGAGTTTCGATCGCGTTCCGAGGGTGGTGGGGGACATTGAGTCCGAATGGGCCTTGTTCCGCTCTGCTATTGTTGAGGCGGCTGTTGCAAGCTGCGGCCGCAAGGTAGCTGGGGCCAGTCGTGGCGGTAACCCCCGTACCCGCTGGTGGACACCAGGGGTGGGGGAAACCGTCAGGCTGAAGAAGGAGGCCTACAGGGCGTGGTTGGCCTGTGGGTCTCAGGAATCAGCTGACTGGTACCGGCGGGCCAAGCGGAGTGCAAACACGGCAGTTGCTGAGGCAAAAACTCGGACGTGGGAGGAGTTCGGTGAGACAAAGGAGGAAGACTATCGATCGGCTCCATAAAGGTTCTGGCAAACCGTCCAGCGCCTCAGGGGAGGAAGGCAGCAACTCGCTCACACTGTTTACAGTGGGGGCGGGAGCTGCTGACGTCAACTGAGGATATAGTCAGACGGTGGAAGGAATACTTTGAGGAGCTCCTCAATCCCACCAACACGTATTCCGTGGAGGAAACAGAGCCAAGAAGACCGTTGGGGATGGATGAATCTAATCTCCGGGGCAGAAGTCGCCGAAGTACGGTGAAACAACTGTGGGTGGCAGAGCCCCGGGGGTTTGAGATATCCTCTGGGTATCTCAAGGCTCTGGATGTTGTAGGACTGTCTTGGTTGACACGCCTCTGCAACATTGCGTGGACATCGGGGCAGTGCCTCTGGAGTGGCAAACCGGGGGGGTGGTCCCCATCTTTAAGAAGGGTGACCAGAGGGTGTGTTCCACAACCGTGGAATTACACTCCTCAGCTCCCTGGTAAGGTCTATGCCAGGGGTACTGGAAAAAAGGGTCCGGTCGATAGTTGAAACCTCAGATCGAGGAGGAGCAAATGTGGTTTTCGTCCTGGGCGTGGAACTGTGGACCAGCTTTTACCCTCGCTAGGGTGCTGGAGGGAGCATGGGAGTTTGCCATCCAGTCCACATGTGTTTTGTGGATTTGGAGAAGGCTTACGACCGCTGTTTCCCAGGGGCACCCTGTGGGGGGCACTCCGGGAGTAAAGATGGGTGGATGGCCCCTTGTTAGTGTCCATTAAGTCCCTGTAGCAAAAGGTGTGAGTTTCTGGTTTGCGTAGCCGGCAGTAAGTCGGACCTGTTCCGGTGAGGGTTGGACTCCGCCAGGGCTGCCCTTTGTCACCGGTTCTGTTCATAACTTTTATGGACAGAATTTCTAGGCGCAGCCGGGTGGTGGACGGGTTTTGGGTTCGGTGGCGGGAGGATCTCCGTTCTGCTTTTTTGCGGATGATGTGGTCCGCCTAGCTTCATCGATGCGGCCGACCTTAAGCTCTCGCTTGGGCGGTTCGCGGCCAAGTGTGAAGCGGCTGGGATGAAGATCAGCACCTCCAAGTCTGAGGCCATGGTTCTCAGCCGGAAATGGGTGGATTGCCTGCTCCGGGTCGGGGGGGAGGCTCTGCCTCAGGTGGAGGAGTTTAAGTATCTCGGGATCTTGTTCACGAGTCAAGGTAGGATGGAGTGGGAGATCGACAGGCGGATTGGGGCGGCGTCAGCAGTAATACGGGCGCTGAATCGGTCCCTTGTGGGGAAGAGGGAGCTAAGCCGGAAGTCGAAACTCTCAATTTTCCGGTCGATCTACGTTCCAATCCTCACCTATGGTCATGAGCTCGGTCATCCGGGAGGGACTCGGAGTAGAGCCGCTGCTCCTCCATGTCGAGAGGAGCCAGTTGAGATGGTTCGGGCATCTGGCGAGGATGC